TAAATATAATTAATTAATTAGAATTGTAGAAATGTAGAATAACTAGAATGTAAACTACAGTTATTTGATTCAGATAATTCTTAATAATGCCAGCCTGTACCTAATATTTAGCAGTTGAATGAGTGAGGGACTGTGGACTTGACTGCACATTGTTTTTACTGCAGAAAGCACAATTTAGGCACATTGTAATATTTTAATTTCACTGGAATTTCACCACAATTCGTGTTGGACAATAATAATAATAAATAATTACTTCCAAGGAGTAAAACGTATGGCACATTACAAAATGAAGAAATTCAATGTCTGTATTACAATGCAGGCTCAAACTAAGCTGACAGTACGTTTCTCATGTGAGAAAGAAAAAAGTAGAACACCTTTCCTGCCATGCTTAGACTAAGCGCTGCAGCTTAAACTAGAGCTGATTTGTCAGGGAGAAGCAACTCCATCAAAATGGGCTGGAGATTTTAACAAGCTATATTTGATTTGCTTGTTATCGTGGAAACCAAAAGGAACTCCCCAGCACTTTCGGAGAGGGTGGGTGTATGAAAGAACACACACGCGCACACACCTCACATACACACCCAGCTTCCTCTGAGAGCTGCAGTGGGCCTGCTGTTGTTTTGCGAGACTTGAGGGTTTTTGGGGAAAATAATGAGCTCATCGCTCTAGCCCCAAGGTACCGCTGGCAATTACCATGATCCATGCTCGCTCTCAGTGGGGCCCTTTCTTTCCTCTCAGGTTTTCCGGGACAGAGAGGGAAGACCTGCTCTGGGAGCAGACATTTCTTTTCTTCTGACATCTGGATTCAAAGGAGGGAGGGAGGAGGGGGAGCACAAGGCAAAGATTCAAAGCAAGGAGTCTGTTGCTAAATATGCCCACTTTATTCATGCGGCGGTAATGAAAATGGCCCCCATCCAAGAGGCACCAAACACGTCCTTGGAGTTAGAGTTTGGAGGCTTCGACAAATTAACAAAGACTCGAGCGTGAACCCAGTAAACAAGCGGGGGGATTAATTGCTCGTACATGCTCCGAAGGCCTGAACCGTCGTGTGTTTGTGGATTCACTGACAGATTTTTTTGTCAAAAAATCACTACAGCAGACTGGCATTAGGTTGTGTTAACAAAAAAAAGGTGTTTACTAATACTGTGGATATTACAGCTGTACACAGTCATATACAGTCGTATGCAAAAATTTGAACACCCCTGCTCAAATTACACATTTTGTTAATTTTCTAAGTAAAAAAATAAGTTAGCACATTCTCTACTGCAAGCAAACTCAAATATAGCAATTTTCATGTCATGTTAGAACAATTTTTATTTATTTGCTGAATGTAACATATTGGAAAAAATAAAACATACAATGTAAAATTTGCCATAACTTTATTCTTTCCCATTATGTTAAATTCAGCAAATAAACAGTAACTGTGCATTAAATTGTGCAGAAGTGTGTTCTCTGTAGAAGATTTGTTAACATATTTTCATCAACAAAACGTGTAGTTTGACCAGGGGCATGCAAACTTTTGCAAACAACTGCGTTTTGCAACACTGAGCTTCATGTTCAAGTCTGTTCTTTGGTATGAAGAACAGGTTTTATCTTTTCCAAACTACTGTTAAAAGCACATGTTGAAGAGTTTAAACGTCTTTGAGTGCTACATCACAACAAAGGGATAAATTGTCTGGGGTATGACATCCTGATATTCTACTGTTGTCAGTCGTTCCCTTGGCTATAAAGTTTTTGCAAAGAGAAATAGCAAAATCCAAACAGCTTCTGTTTAATATGTTTAAAACATGCTTTTTTATTTCAAACCATTGTTGAAAAGCTAGGTGTCCCCAAATATTTGATGGGCATTATAATTAGGACAGTTTTGTCCACCTGGAATGGTTGGCAGATGCAACTCACTGGTCACTGCCTGTCAGCTCCAGTTAAGTCCAGTGGCGGACAGTAGCGTAGAGTGACCGCCTCGGGCGGTGTTGACTAAATGCAGTCGCACGACATGCTGTCTACACCGTCCCTGTGATAGCCACACATGCTCGCTCCTCCTGTTAAGTGAGCCTGACATCATATATAATTGACACTTTTTCATCTCTGGCCTCAGGCACGGCTGGAGCCTTTGTTTCCTGTGTCGTTTCCATCTTGATTTCTCAGCGCCCTCTTCAGCTGAGGCAGACCAGGAGAACACGATACATTTTTACTGTATATGATTTTATACAATTCTTTGAACACATGAGTGCAGCTGTATTTCAGGTGTGTTAATGTGGGAGTGATGTTTTTGATCTTTTTCTTTTATATATTATTCAAACTCAGAAAGCACAGGTATTACAGTAGGGTAATAAGCAGATAATCAAATGTTTTCATGAATACTTGATAATGCTGTAGTAATTATATAAAGCTATGATGCAGTTTTAGTCATGCTTCCACTCATGGGCACCACCTGCCCTCCTGTATAGGTGTACAATTACAGACTGTAGCTCACCTGTTGTCAACTGCCCTCTACCCCATTCGTCATTAGTCATTTTCTGAACACAAGACTGCTTTTTATTCAGATATTGTTTGTTGGGATGCACCAATATGCAAATTCTTGGCTGATACGGACTGATCTGATAATCTGAATTGACTTGGGTTAGTATTGCAAGAGAACTGCAAAATATACTTGTATAGCAGTGCTGTTGGTTTTTTTTACACACATCAGTGTCACTCGTAGGTTGAGAGTGAGCCGCCACCCAAAACCTGACCACTGATGCACGGTTAGAGGATGACTAACACATATTGTGCAGAACAACACATAAAGTCTTTAACTGTTCACCAGCAAAGTGAACAAACGAGGTAGGGGCTTCTAATAAAGTAGACAGTGTGCAGACTCACCATCAATCTACAGTGCATTCATGCTGATTCACAAAGCATTGCAGCACTGTACAAGTGAAAGTCCTCTATAGGTTAATGCGGTGGAGAACATCTAGAGCATGCAGTCATAATCAGTCTAAAGGTCTTGAACTTCCCCTATCACAGGTTTTGGAAGTCAACCATACAGTAATCTGATCTTTAATAATTTCAGTTTGTTTGTCGTTGAGGTCCCACAGAGATCTAGGAGCCTGACTTTGAAGGGATAATGAGAAAAAATGAGAAAAAAAAAAACTGATTTCATTTTTATGCCTGAGAAGCTGGCAGGTATGTAGCACACACACTCTGCGTGCTGATCTCACAGGCAATCCCTTATTAGATTCAATATCATCACTAGAGCAATAAAGAAAAAGGGTGTTTTTCATTCCTCTGTGAACTTATTAACAAGCTTACTTTATCCTTTAAGGCTCACACTTAATTGCGTTTGGAGGGGAACTGGAGCTCAGCTTGAATGGCTAATGAGGAGTTTTGATTAAGACAAAGGGTGTGTTTCGTATTACATATTTTATTTATACTTCATTTTTACAATATTTGTCACAAATGACATATCTCTCATTTTTACACACTTGCTATTAGGAGTTCCAGCTACAAGCATGAACGACAGATGAACGACTACATGTGGTCCATCGGGTTTGGTTGTAGTTATGGCCGAGGGGCTCCGCTGGCATGAGATTCCATCAACAGTCGTAGCTTGTTAAGATGAGTGATGTCACAGACTGACAAACGTGTACTTTCCAGCTTTTTGCCTGTCAGGGGGAGCAACAATTTATGACCATTTGTGTGTTTTGTGTTTGTTGGTGATGGGAGAGGACAGTACAGAGCTGATTAACCCTAGAATCTGGCTATGCTGTTTAAATGTAATTACACAACTGATTTCATAGATCCTCAATCAATTACATTTACATTTCATTTACATTCTGTTTGAACAAGCTTGAGTCCTCACTTCTGACTTTTTCAAAGCATAATAATACATCTTGTAAGAGTTAAGGATGAGATAATGCGACACTGCCCCTTCAGTTACCCCACTAAGGGTCAGCCCCTTGTTGGCCTGACCGCAGTCTCCATCCAGTCTCCAGTGGTCCAGACAGGGACCATAAGCTGTGACTCACATACCCTGCATCTACCCCAAACCAAGGGGGTCGTACATGTCCGCTTACTCAGACCATTCCTGGTCTCTACGCGAAGCTGTAATGTAAATTGTGTACTAGTGGTTCTGATTAAATACTGGCTCCGAGCACTCTGAGAACTGAGTGTGAGCACGGTGCTAGTGTTTGGACCCCTTGTTGTGGCCAATCCAGCATTTGGCTAATTGCGCTGACGTAACCACTGGTGTGCTAAACTCATTCTGATGTGTGGAAGTCACAAAGGTGGTTTTCTCGACCACAGAGTAATTGCTCGTCAATTAAGACATAAGTTACAGTACTCTGTTGATGCCAGATGAGTGCCAGCCAATTACAGTGAGTGAAGTCTAACGACGTTACCAGCAAACTATACATTTACCACTCCATATCTACTCCTAATGCATGGAGTTGTCTTGGCCCTATCCTTTATTTTACAAGAGTTCTCCATGATGCATAACTAGGCCAGAGTCCAACCAATTCCTTTGGCCGTTTCCCCTTAAAACTTGACACTGACATAGTGTCATCCATGAAAATGAGCAGAAGTACAGATAACATTCAGACTGACAGTTGGCTTTGCTGCTACTGCTGTTTTTTAGTATTGTGACATTTTGTCCATTTTTATAGATAATGGTATCTATTTGACATTACTTGAGCAACTCGTAGATGCAGTTTGCAGTAATGTGTGATGATTTAAGCCAGCTGTTTTCACAGGTTTAATTGGTGGCCTTAAGCGGCCGTTACTTGTTAGCTAAATTATCCTAGTAGGTCCAGTGAAAAACTAAAGAAGCAGTCTTCGGACACCAAACGTCTTATTTCACTGCCTATGTTTGGGCTAAGGGGAAAACTGGGTAAATTAGATTAGATTTTTATTTGGCTATTGCTTTAATGCATGGGATCTTCTTGCAAGATTTCTCCATGATGTATAGCAAGCTTGGTACACCTTGAGTCTAACTGATGATCCACTTCTGCTTCTCTCTATAGAAACTGCTTTTTTGGGCAAGAAGTGCTGGACCTGCATTCATCACCAGTGAGCAGGTCTCGGTGTAAGCAAAAGTTCATTGTGGTAGGACCGCTGGTATCCTCAGAAGGAGAAGGAGAAGTCCAGCATCAGCAAAGAGGAGCAGGAGGAGCCTCCCTCCACAAGCAGAGGATCCAAGGCTTGGCCTCAGCCCAACCCCTTCGACTCTATTACAGCTCTTGTTGCTACAGGGTGCTGAGCCGTGGTGAACTTTGACACCTGACTTATTTTCAAAGGCGGCCTCTAACCCCGCCTACCCCTCACCCCCCACCCTGCACTGTAGGTCTTCCATCTACTGTGAGTTTAAGAGAGAGGAGTGAGGTGCAGGTGAATGGTTTTCTTTATTTATTTATTGCTCTGTGTTTTTTTTTCCAAAAGAAATATCAACCAGAAAAAAAGAAAAGAAAAAAGGTCCAGCTAAAAAAGGAAGGAAGTCAAAAATATTCAGTTTGAGGTGAAAACTGAAAATAATACATCACGCTTAGCTCTTATTTTGTTGTTTATTTTCTTTTCTCAATAAGGGCTTATTATCAGCTACACATCCTTTTTTTTGAGTTGTCTTCTCACAGTGGAAGGATGGCAAGAAACAATTGTGGATTTTTTAAGATCTGAAGCAAGAGTGAAGCTCGATTATCTGATGGTGATAGTTTTGGTGGGCTTGCGTGGTTGTTAGGGGTCCCAGTTTTCAATTCCTCTTCCTTATGCAAGTGAATTATTTTATATGCAATCTCCTCAGAAATATCTCTCAAAAATAAATAACTGGTATTTAATGGCTGTTTTGATTGGAAATTAAATAAATGAAGGGGGATCTCTCAGTTGGTTTTAGTACAGTGTTCATTTCTCACACATCTGCAGATCTGCAAGCAATAAATTCACAGTGTAGCTGAAGTTTCTGGTTCTACTGATCCAACAGTTAGCAAACACTCGAATTACTATAAGCTTTTTTTTAAATCCTCAAATCCTTAAACACCCTCCAAAAATCATTTACAAAACAATACCACCTGCTAAAAGGCTATCTATTGAGCTGTGTACATCTCCATTCTTTTTCTGCCCTGAATCAATTGTTTTCGTTCTCTCCATTTTTTTCTGTTGTAAATCAATTTCGGCTCCAGGCTAGTCTTCCTTCTAGGCAGCGTCTGCTTTGATTCAGGCTCCCACCACAGCTTGGCGGAGGAGCGCAGGCAGCCTTGAGTTCTTTGAGGGATTTATAACCCCCCCACACCCCCCACCCCCCCGTCTGAGCTTACCCGACTCCAACACTGACTTTATCTGCCGCCCTCCATGGGACCACTGGCGATGTGAAGTTCTAAACTTTGGCATGATTCAGTGGGAATACTGTCAAAGCTCTGGCGTACCTTCCAAAGCAGACACACCTGCAGGGCCCATGTCCTTCAAAGGCCGCGATCAAAAAGAGTTCATTATGAAATTATATCTGGCGCATTTGACTTTTCCTGTTGGAAGACAACCTTGGAAATTCAAAGTAGGTTAATAAAAGTTTGAACAAACAGGGTTTAAGGTGTGGTTGGTTTGTTAACTCATCGAGAACAGGTTTAGATCAGGGATCTTTGTTCTGTCTTTGTTTTATCACATGCTGAATCCTTAAAATCTCACATGTTGTTTTGCTCACTGATAACAAGAATTCAAAAACAAGAGATAAAATTTAACCTATAGTGTTTATAATGAGCCATTTTACTCACCTAGAACACTTTAAATGTAGTGATTGCACCTCACAATATAAAACTGTACCACATTTCAATGCGCATTTGCACTGCACACACAGGATTAGTTCAGAAGCAGCACACACTCCCTGTTCAGCACTTAAGCAGTTCATAATTTTTCACCTGGACTGGAGACGGAACAGAGCGTGATTGATTGTATAAGTGGTCTGCAGGACCAGAGACTCTCAATGAAGCTCCCTCCTGTTATCCCATGTAAAACAGCACCACCTCTTGTCAAATAAGTGTACTACGTAGCTCGGCCACTTTATTAGAAACCCTTACCTTGTTTTTTCATTCACTGGCCACTTTTTATATTCATACAAGCGACCACTGATGAAAGGCTAGAGGATGGATAGCACAAATTATGCCTCAGCAAATGATCTGCAGTCTCTAACTATACACCAACAGGGTGGAGCTACAAGGTACAGGTTTCTAAAGGAGTGGCTGCTGAGTGTAGCATGTAGATATTGACTTTTTGGAGCAGCAATTAAATCTTCTTAGACAAGCATTGCACTGTTAATTTGACTGAGCACTTGCAGCAAGCCAGAAACTCTCAGTAGGTTAGTGTGAGTCTGGTGTTCATGTGTCTGGAGTGAAGTGAGCAGGCCTGGTTGAGCATCAAAGAAAGTCAATGCGGTGGTTTGAGATGGAGCGTAATGGTGCTTTATAAACTTGTTAACAGGGAAACTCCTGAAAAGAACATTTTAATAGCTCTCACTTTGAACCTCTGGGTGTTTCAGCACTTTTTTTCCTACACCTGTTTAACTGCCTCATAAAGAAGCCCATGTGTTGGCAATCTTAAATTTCCCTCCCACCGAATTAGAGGCTCATGTTAAATCTTTATTAACCCGTTAAATTGAGCTACTTGGCCATAATTGCAAATGAACCAAAAAGAAGCACATTATTTTGTTTCAATGGATATCTGTGGAAAAAGTTTTCTTAGTGGGTAGTTTTTGCGCATATTGTTCTCCGTCTTTGAAATAAACCCCAACAGAATCAACACTAATAAAATTATTCTTAGTTTTTAGCATGCTCAAATCTTTGGCCACACCTGGCTTTTCTGTATGTTGATGTTTGGTTTTCCTTTCCAGTTTATCAGCATGGAAACGGGCGTTTAAGAAGAGACCTCCCTGTATACACCAGCCACAATCACACTGCACTGCAGGCAGCTCAGGAAAAAACACAGATTAGCATCGGCCTTACATGAAAGGAGGATGCTGGTGAGATTGGTGAGCGTGTCAACGTGAGTGTGCATTTAGCTCTTTGTGGGGACCAAATGTCCACAGGATCAGGGAGATTTCTATGCACCAGTGGTATAAGTAGTTGCTTAGTGTACCCAAAGCACCAGCATTGGCATATCTAGGATGTTATGGGCTCCTGTGCAAAAAAGCACTTAATGGACCTCTATACAAATATTACCTTCAGTGAATAAAAATGACGATGCAATTTGCTTATTTACTGTCGTTATATCTCAAAGGTATGCCACTCCACCCACATTAGCGTCTAATGTTAACAAAGACGAGCATAATGAATATGTAATGTTGAGGATTGTGAAGGATCTGTTGGAAACAGTTACCATGGATGGTTTGCATTATGAATAAGATGAAGATAAACAGATGTCAGGACTGTCTGTGTAGTGTTCATGAAAGCAAACTGGTGATGTATGCCGTTAAGAAATTGGATCTTTGCATGAGTCACAGCTGTACAATAGTGTTAGTATCTGTATGAGGAACCTATTAAAGATTTTAAGAGTCCTGGTCACGACAGACCCCCTTGTGCTATGGGCCCTGGTGCGATTGCTCCCCCCTGCCTGCTCAGTAGTTACACTACTGTCATCAGGGGTCCCAGAGTTGCATTTTTTGCCCAGGATAATAGCAATAACACTATGGGATCATGGGGGCGCTAGCAGAATTAGCACTATTGTAAAAGTGTTGTAGAGGTCTTTGTTTTTGACCATTATGTCCTGAACTGAAGGCCTAGCTCTAATATTGAGTGTTCTCTCTGTAGACTTCAGCCTTAGTCAAATAAAAAGCATAACACTCATAGATGACACGAGTAAAAACACACACAGTGTTCTAATACATGTAAATATATAATCTGGCAGCCTGGATCACACATTTGTACCTTCAGCTTCATTTACAGACTTGCTGTCTGTGTCTCCGTCTGTCTCTGACTGCCACCTTCTGACAGACATAATGTTCCCAGGTGGCTGACTGGGAGCTTACTGACAGTGTTTTGTCCAGCTGGCTGTAAAGAAGTTGGAGGTCTGTTTAACCATCCCATCTAAAACCAGGAACTAAGCAAGCAAAACCACATTTTCCAAACTGGGAAGTGATTCAGTACAGAACAAAGACACTGGAACATTTTATATATCATCTATAGCATTTTGTCTAACCAATCATGCCACACTGTCTACTGTACGAACACCTGAAATGGACTGATGGCACCTTGTACACAGTGTGTACTGTGATACACATACACAAAAAGAATTTGACAATGTACTGGGAAAAATTTACCAGTACATTTTCCAAGTCAGAAAACCACACTTTTGTTGGAAAATCCTGTTAACATACAGTTGGTACAGATTTTATATATATATGGATCAACTGATCACTTCATATGTGAAATATTTTGAAATTTAGTTTTATGTGCTAAAGTTTTCTTCAAATCTTATTAATGAAACATCTTATCTAACTAACATCTTATCTAGCTAACATTTTCCAACACTTCTTACTCAAGACAGAACAGATTGGGGCAGAGAATAATTTAAAATGTAACCCAGACGCTAATGTGGGTGGCCCTAACTTTAACCTTAAACCCACAGCCTAATCTCAACCCTCATCCTGGCCTGATCATAATCCTAACCTTAACTCAACCCAAAACCTAACCCTCACCCTCACTCTGGCCTTATCCTGACCATAACCTTAACCAAAATCTAATCCATTTAAGCTCCAGCAGTGCATCTATAAAAGCTTGTTAAGGCTGTTGATGGTCTGTATTAGACCTGTTACATATTCAGTGACCTCTCCTCTCAGACTAACATCTACAGATATGAACTTGGACACTCCAAATAAAGTGAAAAACAACTGAATTCAGCAGATTATAGATAAACTGTATTTATGCAGTTAATTAAAAGTCTCTTAATAATCTACTGTATGCATTAACTGCTGCTACATCATTGATATATTGTTGAATGTACATACTATTCAATGCACATCCTGTTTACACTTCAACAATTCACTGTACTTCTATGCATTTGTATTTGTGATATTGTGCCTTATATATTTTGATATTTACATGGACACCAAGAAAAACACCAAGAAAAAGCACATGTTGTGCTTGGTGAGTAAAATTCTGATTCTGATTAGATTCGGCTGTTTCTGTGCTAGTGGCAGGCATGAAGAGAGGAAGCCTGGCCCACCAAAGAAAATATGGAGAAGGCTATGAAGTTGTGCATACAGTGCTTCATTTGAAGCTGCCCTCAGATTAACAGTCCTGCCCCAGGTGTTTATGGGTGGATGCCTGGCTACTCACTCATTAAAAAATGATGGCATGTTTATTTTACATGGTGAGAGGAGGGATGGAATTAGGTGCTTTTACCCTACTGGCTTCAGACCTTTTCATGACTTGTGCTCACGTTTGTTTTCTATTTAAACAGCGGTGTAGCTATTGATCTTTACGGTTCATTTAAAATACATAAGACCTCAATTAATGCTGTATGTGATTTCACAGTGTGAGCGATGGTTGCTGCATAAAATAAGCATACATATAGACATATTTACCATCCACTTTATTATAAACACCTGCCATGTAGTTCCACTTCACTGGTGTATAGAAAAGATGCTTTTCACTGGGCAGTATTATAAAGCATGGCATGGCTACAAATATGAACCCACAACTATTTGCAGAACCAGAACCATCACATAACAGAACTATAAGAGTTCTCTTTGAGTCCTTCAGTGAATGAAAGCACTAGGCTACAGGTACATCAAGTGTATAGAAGCACTAGTGAACATCAGAGTGTCTAGCTTTAGTGTTAGCATGGCAGAAACATTTGCAGGGGTAACATCCATGCTGCCAAACTGACCTGAATTTTGAATCCTCTCACAAGTGATGAGGGGTCAGGAGTTTGACTCTGACACTAAAGCAAAGCACGGAACAGAACAGAGAGGCTAACTGTAACAGCTCTGGGGTGCCTGCTTTCCAGTTTCATCGCACCACATCTGGCACAACACAGGAGCATGTACTTGCGTGTTTATTTTAACGGGCGGAGGATTTTAACAGGAATTCGCTTCACTAAGCCTCAGAGGGAGTATCAGGGGAAGCGTTGTCAGCCTGTGTGAAGTGCTATGGTGTGTATGAGGAGACACTTGATGTTTCTCATCAGATGGCCATATGCAGCATCAAAAGAGAAACACTTATGCTATTTATAACGTAACCTGGAAGGATGTGGTTTTCATCATCCATTTTTTATGTTACCAACAGTAGCATGAAAAACTCTGCTCCCAAAAGTATATCAGTTTGAGTTATCCCAAAAAACACTTTCCTTTCATATGAAACAAGTGGTGTTAAGTGAGTGCATTTACATTATTTACACTTAATAATCCGATAACTGCAAAAAATCAGATTTTGTCAGTAATACGATCAACGTGTTTACATGCACTTGGGGAATCAGATAATGGGGAAACTCCAGGTCTACATGAGTCAGGCCAATAAACTCACAGAAGAAGACGTGACGTAAGCATAATGTAAAACTCAAACTTCATGACGCAGCTTTTTTAAAAAACGCTGCTTGCTT